GAGGACTGCGCAAGACAAGAACAACATGAACATCTCCATCTTGTGGTCAGAACCCTTAATTGCATATTCAAGAAGATTGATGTGCTATCCTCCCAGCTATGTAACCTCGAACAGAAAATTGATAACTTCTGGTCAAAGTTTAAACCAACTGTAGATACGGGGGAATTGAAGTGCCAGAGGTCCTTACCTTCAACCAAAAAAAGAAGTGTGATCCCTAAATATAAACCAAATCCTGCACTGAAACATCAAGCATTGTCCCTGCAACCTAAGAAAATCTGCCTAAACATCGGGGCAGGGTCACCAAGGTGGCTTACTCTGGGTGGGGTTAAAAAGCATCTAAGCAATCTCCTAAACATAGAAATCTCACAATGCGATCTCATTGCAGTATTACCTTTGAACCAGCACCTCAGGCAACAGAAAGTGATGCTTGCGTTTTACTCTCCAAGGATCCCTTCAGCTATCATCAGGCAGAAATCACTCTTGGCTAGGTATGATATCATCCCAACAAGAGTTTTTATGGATAGCATGATCCACCCCCTTCTACTTGCCGGTCACGGCACGGAGCGGACTCTGTCGGAGAGGTCGGGAGTACCTCGGGACATCGAGCCTCCTCTCCGGAGGATATCCATCCGTACCGAAACTGGACTTACCCTACCCCCACGAGCTCTAAAGAAACCCACTGGCGCAAGTAACTCTCTGACCCCGCCGGAGCGAAAGAGAGCTTTAGCCACCTTTTGGCGACCTTCCACCGAGAGAACAACAAGAAATAATTGATAGACTAGAAGTACTTAATCATCAAGCTCATACATGTCCAGAAGAACGGAAAAGTCCTGCCCCTTTTCAGGATAACCCTGCCAGCTTTTCGAGTCGTGTTTTAAGGAAGCAGGAAGTCTTCCATACCATAGTCCAGCTCCTAAACCCATGCCTCCCCACTTGTGGGCAAAACCCATCGACGCTTGGCAGACCCAGGTTTTTGCTCACAAGTTGGCCGTCTCATCCCAACTCTTGATAAATTTTGACTCGCCCTCCAAGAGTCCCCCGCTGAGGAGTGTAACTCAGAGCTCCTTCCACCAAAACAATTCCTTACCATCTAATCCATCAATGCCGAACTGGAGTCCTCATATTCCCCTGAGCGCATAGACCCGACATACAAACGGTACCAGTACGCCGAGCATCCCCTGTACCTTCGCCAGCACCAGGTCAGGGGAGTGTCCACCTACATCAAAAAATGCCCAGATTTGATTGAAGACCCGGCCGGACATATAAATCAATAGGTTTCATCGGCGACCTTTAGACCTCGCGTGGGGCAGTCTCAGCAAATCCTGTGGGAGTTTCCCACTGAAGTGTCCGCCCTTGGGTAGCCAGCGGGAGACCCGTTTGTCGCCCCAGTCAGAATACCTCACTACCACTCAAGACTAGGTACTTCAGCAGGTGCCTGCCACGCAAAGTAAAATAACTGACTTTTTTGTGGGTCTCCCTGCCTCCAAAGGACTCACATCTCTCCTGAAATGACAGCGAATTGGTCACAACAAGGAACTCCCCCCTATCAAGTCCTCACTGGAACATTGCGGGCTGGAGGAGGAAAAAAACTTGATCCAGAATTCTTGAGAGTAATAAACCTGTTTCATATCATTTGTTCCAAGAATCGTGGGAAGTAGAGAAAATTGGTCCTAAATGGCTTTGAGCTTTTAGAACTCCCTGCCTTGCCCCTCCCTGAAAGGAGGCCGCCCTGAAGGGGCCTAATAATAGGCATCTCCCTCAACCTACATTCTAAATTTACTCTAGTACAGGCCTTGCCTCCTTACGCCCTTACCGGGCTGATTGCGGGGGAAAGATCTCACTTCTAGTTACAAATGTTTACTTGCCACCCGGAGGTTCTTCCCCCGAACTGGGCTCTAAATGGGGCTCGCTAGAAGAGCATTTGCTCTCATGCTATGTTAAGTTTCCTAACACCCCGGCCATAATAGGTGGCGATTTTAATGCCCGCACAGCAGCAAACTGGGACTCCGCTGACCAAAGCCAAATGGTGGGTTACCCCAAACCTTGATAATTATGATCTGGAACATATCATGAGGAGAACTTCTAAAGACCACAGAGTTAATGAGGCTGGAGTACTCCTCTATCAAATGGCCATCCGTTTAAATCTGGTCCCCTTAAATGGCACATGCCTCCCTGATATTCCAGGGATTTCACTCACCTGAGCGTTAAATCAAACAGCGTCCTCGATTACCTGTTGGTCTCCAGTGATCTACTTAAGTGTATTTCCACCTTTAAGATCGAGAATGTACAATCTAGTGATCATCTTCCCCTTGTAGCCAAGCTTTCCCTGAACTGGCAGTCGGAGGCCCATAGACATGCGACCCAGATGGTAACCAACGAATCTCTCCAAGTAAGAGGAATCAAATGGTCGGAGACCCAGGCTCAAAGGTATCAGGAATTCTTTCAAAAAGAAATTCTCGGGCCCCATCCCAACATAGGCTCTGCCTCGGACAAGCATAGCATAGTGTTGAAACGCTTCCACCATCATACGACTGATCTTACGTCCTTCTTCAGGTTACCACCCAAAATATTAAATCGAAACGAGTATACTTACGGTGCCCCCTGGTATAATTCTCAGTGCAAACAAGCAAGACAGCGCCTTCGTGCTATATATAATGTATATAAGACCTCCGATGCATCTACTCTGCCAGCTAGTTATGCACAAGCCAAGCAAGTTTACAAACGCACGCAGAAAATTGCCAAACGTGAGTGGCAACATAATCGTTGGCAGGCTTTGATTACTGCTTCAAAACCACACAGATCCAGGGAATTCTGGTCTTTGATTAACAGAAGGGGGAGGAAATACCCAAGGGCAGTCATCCCTGCACCGACATGGGAATTGTTCCTGAAGAAATGTTTCTCACAGGCAGATGCTCCCTCCGACCATCTGATGCATCTGTTTACCCACCTACCTATTTGGCCTCCCACCGATCCTGACAAAATAGCCAAGCTAATAGCCCAGCTGAAACCGGGCAAAGCCCCAGGGCCCGACCTGATCCCTGCTGAAGCCATCAAACTACACCCAAAATGGTGGGCTGGCATCTTGGCCAAAACCTTCGATGCAATCAACGCTTCTGGTCTCATCCCCAAAATATGGAAGGAGGCCATTATAGTACCAATTCATAAAAAAGGTTCTCCAATGGAGCCGGAAAACTACCGTAACATCAGCCTCCTTTTGATCCATAGGGAAAATTTATGACAGCTTTTTGCTGAATAAACTATTGCGATGGGTAGATGAGACTAACCAGATTGGCCACGAACAAGCAGGGTTCAGAATTAAACGTTCTACAACCGACCATGCGATAGTTCTTTACCATCTGGCACGGAAGTACTCCTCCCCTCCCCGGGGCTACCTCTGTGCTGCCTTCTTAGATCTAAAGGCAGCCTTTGACAGCGTTCCTAGAAATATTCTTTGGGAGAAACTTGCGAAACAGGGCATTGATAGAAGACTCTTATGGCTTATAAGTCAGCTCCACGAAGGTACCCTTGCCAGAGTGAGACTTACTCCTGCGGGCGACCTCACAAATTCGATACCAATAAACAAGGGAGTGCGCCAAGGATGTATATTGGCTCCCTGCCTATTCAACCTATTCATCAGCGACATGCGAGCACCCCTAGTCAACTCATCTCCAAGTACACACGCGCCTAGACTAGCGGATTACCGCTGTCCACTCCTTTTATATGCGGACGACGCGGTAATTCTATCTTATACACGTGTTGGACTAACCAGAGCTCTGAAGATCTTTGCCACGTATTGTCAACTCAACCAATTAACCATCAACCATGTTAAATCCAAGGTTCTGATTTTCGCCAGAAGCCGGAGATTATACGAATGGAAGCTTGGTGGAGCAAAAATAGAGCAAGTCCTAAAATTTCAATACCTAGGAGTTATTTTTCAATACAATTTGGGGTGGAAAGCACAAATTCAACACCTACTTAACAAGGCCAAAACTCTGTCATATGCGCTCCTCCGATTTTTCTTTTCGGATGGAGCTTTGCATGTTCCCTCGGCCCTAAAGGTGTTCAAGGCAAAAGTGGTTGCCGTGCTTGCTTATGCTGCCCCGCTCTGGGCCGTGATGACAGATCTTGCTCCTCTTGAGACTCTGCAAAACCAATTCCTACGTCGGCTCCTGATGCTCCCCCTGTGCGTAAGCAACGCAGCCATGCGACTAGAATTGAAGATCGCATCCTTAGAAACTTGCCTGTGGAAGCAAGTCTTCAATTATTGGTTATCATTGTGGCATAGATTACCAGACCATTACCTTGTCCAATGCTTATGGCGAGATGAATTCTCTAGCCTTTGGACTAGTAGAATTCATGCCAAACTCCTGAGTTATGGACTCTCTCCCTCAGATTCCCTAAAACTAGATCAAATCACTGCTCAAAGACTGATCAGCCAAAGACTGGATGACATCGACTTACAGCGAAATTATATGCTGGGGGGAGGTGTTTGTTCGCCCCAGAACATTGGTATCACTTTAACTTACTGCGTTCCATCATACCTCTCCTCCCTTTCGACTGTTGCCCATAGACTGGCCTTCACCAAAGCGAGGTTTAACGTTTTCCCCTCCAATGTCCTGAGACATAGATTCTCAAAGGGCCAAGTCTCCGCCATGTGCGAATGTGATAAGGAGACGCCGGAGTCGCTCCAGCACATTATGTTCACTTGCCCCTTGTTCAATGTGCCACGGGCAAATTTGTTGGGATCAATCATACAGAAACTAGAGGGTACCCCACCAAAATTCCACCTTGCCCAAATCCTGCAGGATAAGGATACCCATACGACCCTGAAAGTGGCTAGGTTCCTGGTCGCTGTCCTTACCCAAAAGCGACACCAAGGAGCACTACAAGCTAATTAAGGCGTAGTATGCCATCCCATCTTATAGTATTTTAATTGTTATAGTGGTGTTTTAGCGGCTGTTTTTTCCCACGTGCACAAGCTGTTATTTATGTGTTGTTTTTATCTGTATGGGCCTATGGCCGTAATAAATTTTCTTTCTTCTTTCTTCTTCTTCATGTGCACTTACTTTAGAGTAAGCCCCATTGAACTTTGCCCTCTGCAATCTTCTTGAATGCTTTTGTTCAGTACCCTCAGCTTTCTTAGGTAGACCTTTGACAAACTGTTTTGAAGGCCAGCTAACTGCCAAGGATTGCTACAATCATTAAATCACAAAGTTCAAACATTGTCCAGGGCTTCAGGGGAAGCTAGCAAGATGATTATTTGACACATAGGCCAACTGTGATTAATTTGGTGTAAGCGCTGAGGAAGGGAGTTTCCCTGCTTTTGTCTGTTTTTTCAGCCATGAGATTAAAGTACGTGCGTTGGATGCTAGGGCTGCAGATTATTTTTCTGACAGATGCTCTGGACCTTTAAGAATGACGCAGCAGGCAGCAATTCAACAGGCAATGCTATCCCTCATCACTTTATGTCCATACAAAATAAAACTTAAATTTCTGTCTGCCTTGTAGCTGTTAAAAGCTCAATACAACTGTCGGGGAGCGGTGGTGTTAAAATGACAACTATAAACTAGAATTCTGAACAATGTGACAATTGTCTAGGTATGCCTAGGTATGCTATGATATGCCTCAGTTTAATCACTTCTGAACTCGAGACTGGATTAGTTGTTTAGCCTGGTGGGAATTACCCAAAGGGGATGAAAAAGGGGAACCAGGATCATGGTGACAGTTGTACTCACCACCACATGAAATGTGTAAGCCTGGCATTTGCTGGGACTGATGCCTGATAGCATTGGTACCCAGCATGTAGAAGGATAATGGCTAAGGTCACACATGCTATAATTCATATAGAACCTGCTGTGTATCTTCTACTTCAGGGCTGGGGGACCTGCGGCCACCCAGATGTTGCTGGACAACAACCAGGGCTGTCCCAAGACCATTTGCTGCCTGAGACAAAGAACAGGATGGCAATTCCCACCCCCCAATCTGTTTCATAATAAATAATAAAGCATCCATTTTCTTTTCACAAATGGAAAATTCATTTCTTTAGGATGTCCACCTGTCAGGGCCTTCAAATGTTAGGGCTTCCTAAAACACTTTGATGTGCCAAGCCGCTTATCTCCTGACCTGAACTGGCCTGGTCACAAGGAGACTGCGCCAGTGCGACATGTTCCATGGTGCATGTTCATTTGCTCTCCTTCAACTACCTTTGCTCATCTTGTCTATTTAAAACATAAATCGTTTGAGGTGCAGTCAATTGCTCTAAGGGCTTTCCTCTGGAAAAAAATGTCTCTGGTGCCAGGTCTCTGCTTTGAAATGCTTAACAAAAGCCCTGAGCAAGTCAGAATGCTTTTAAATCTCTTCTGAATAGTAACCCACCCACTCACACACAACCACTTAGATCAGTGAGAACAGATTTTGGGTAGAGAGTTTTGAAAGGACTCCTCTCCCTTTAATAGCTACTTCACAATTCAGTGTCATCTAGGGTGATGCATTGCCAAAAAAGTGCGGTCCATCAGGACTTCTCAATTGTACCTTTGCATGCACGCTAAAACCCAAGACTCTGCTCAGGTGACCTGATTAGTCTAGTCAGGTTAACTGTTGGTTTTATTTGCAAGCTTCTTTGTCTTCACTTTTTTCCAAACCAGCTAGTTTATATTTGCATTTGGCTTTATTGGTTTTTAAATGCAATTATCCTTGATTTCTCCCTAGAATCTTCTGCATATGTTTAAAACCATGCAGTTAAGCCATGTTCATTGTGTTCTAAGGTTATTTTGCAAGTACACTTCTTAAGTTATGTGCAGAATTTTTGTAAATTCAATACCCCTACTACATGTGGAAGACAATGGCTGGTTCTGTGTGATAGTTGGGGAAATGATTAGAAAGCTCTGACATCTGCTATCTGGAAGACAATGTCATTATAATCAAAGCCATTAAGTCATCAATAAAGTGAGCTGAATTAAATTACTGGCAGCGGACATCACCCTGCTGAAATCAGTTGCCAATTGATTCTGATGAACAGTGATACAGCATATTTGACAGGAGCAAGAACCCCAGCATTTGTCAGGTCAGCACAGTGAGAAAGTTATATATCCTGATTGCCTGAAAGCGAAGTTCATGTCCTCAATCAGTAGTAATAGCTGCGGATCTAGCTGTTCTAGCTCTGGATCAGGCTTCCTCAAACTTGGTCCTCCAGATGTTTTGAGACTACAATTCCCATCATCCCTGACCACTGGTCCTGCTAGCTAGAGATCATGGGAGTTGTAGGCAAAAAACATCTGGAGGGTTGAGTTTGAGGAAGCCTGCTCTGGATCCACCTAATATCCAACTGCTGCCTCTGGGTTGTATCTGACTTAATCATACTCGGAGTAGACCATGGATTTCCATGATTCCTCTCTGAGTATGGTTTAGTTGGCTGCATCTCTCTGAATAAATCAGGGCCTACTTGTTTCATTGTCTATCTTACCCATCCCTAAGGTCTGAGTCAGGTAAAAATAAGTTTTACTAATCCAATTAAAATGTCCATTGAAACAGGACAAAAATGAATCCGCTCTTTAAAAATGCACAACTCTATGCTGGCTGAAATGTGATTCCCTAAAGGTGCATTATTGCTTAAAAACACCTCACCTGATATTTCTCTCTCTACATAATATTTTCTTTCTCTACAGAACATGTTTTCCCCTTATACTTTCATAGGGGTAGCCCACCACAGAATTTTGCTTTTTCTAGTAGTTTATCCCTTATAAAACAGCAGTCATGTCTTATCTGCTTAGTTTCAGAACATTTGGGCACCTGAGGTGAACGACAAAATGGTACCTCCCTCCATCCCAGGGAGAAAGGGGCGAGTAGAGATATATACCAGGAACAGAGAGGGGAATATACCTTGGTCAATGCAGGTGACAAATGTTATCTGCTACAATATTGTGAAATGTACAGAATGCTTTGAAACAGGACATGCTAGAAGCAGATTATTTGGTCAATAGCTATTGGCTGAAATAGGTAGCACATTTTCACAACTTCCCAGGCTATAGTTCAAACAAAAATTAAAAGCCGAGGCCTAGTTCAAACATAACACTAAAGCAGTGGTTCTCAAGCCTTTATTTCTGGGCCACAGTTTCAGAATAAAATTGTCTTGAGCCACACTGAATTTTTGAATTGATAAGAAAAACATTAGAAAACACAATTCGGACTGTCCTCAGTATCACTTGATGCTCTTGCTCTCATTTTGAAAAAGATTTCTATACATATTAGGCAAAATTTAAAAAAAAATACTTGGATACTATACTATACTACAATGAAATGTTTGGTGCTTCTTTGCTTGTCCTTGAATCTTCCCATCACTCTCCCATCACTTGTCTTCCTCTCCAGCCACACCAGGCTGGTGCACTACACCCTTTGAGAACCACTGCATTAAAGCATAATTTAGTGCTACGTGGATGAGCTTGCTTGAACCTTTGATACGTGATTCAAGGGTAGAGATTGTGAGAAGTCATCTTCCAAAGCAATCCCACCCCGCAAATTTGGAGCCTTCTTGCCTCTAGCCTAGGCATCACCCCTTTTCCTGTTCCCGCTGGGGTCTTCTTTTGCTTGCGCCTGCGGGCTCTCTTCCGGCCAACGCTGCCAATGACAGATCTTAAAACCTTGGGGTCGGTGAGATTCGGCAATCGCAGCACCTTGCGCCTGCTGGACCTCCTGAGCGGAGCGGGTTGTGTCTTGCTCCTGGTGAAGTAGGGTGAAATGTGAGGAGTGTTGCAAGCCGGTGCAGAGGCAGAAGGTCTGGCCGAGTTGGTAGAGCACGGCTTCTCTGTCAGAGGCTTCTTCCTAACCCAGTGGAACACCAGTATCATACGCCTCTTAGATGGGTTGGACATGCTGAAGAAGGTGCTGGAGGCCCAAAGACCAGGGTGACTTCAGAGCAGAGGACGCAGCAGACAGTTCCCTATCAATGGTGCCAAATCCAAACAAATGTTAGCTCCAGTCTTCTTAAATCGATCCAGCAATTATGAACGTTAAATAAGGGATTAATTCCTCAGGCAGTATGAAAAGACTTTCTGTGGCTTTTCAATAGATGGGAGCCCCCAACTACTGCCACTGTTGACAGCCTGTTGCCCCTTTTAACTCTGCTTGAATGGGTTATGTCACAATGGTTCCTTCATCAGGTGCTTGTGAGCATGAAAATGTTGTTGGGAGTTTCAGCAATGAAGGCTCAGGCATAACATACTGTTTGAAAGTCTGAACATTTCCTCTTTTTTTATTTAACAAAATTTATATACCACTTTTATAATTTATATACAAATTTTTGAGAGGGGAATATACCTTGGGATCTGCTGCCTCTGTGGATTCTGCCACCTGAGGCAGTTGCCTCACCTTGCCTCATGGGTAGGCTGGCCCTGGTAGGACTGGCTATTGCTAGCATTATCCACAGTCATCACTTCTGCCACTGGAGCCCATTAACTAGAGGGCAGTGAAATTCTTTATAGTAGGAAGGTGTTTATTATGAATTTGTGGTGAACTCTACTCCAGAGGTAGGGGACTTTTCCAACTGGGAGGCTGGATCTTGAGGTTGCCAACCAGGCTTTTGCACTTGCCAACATCAACTGCTTACAAACCCCACTTTAGGCAAGGAGCCATGTCCTATGACGCTCGGGGGAAATGGTCTCATGTTGGCCTCATTAGTCCTACACATTGGAGATTCCCAGCTGCTGCTCTAACCAACAGAAAAAGAGACTTCCAAGACAGAAGAGAACTCCATTCATTACAAAGTTTCCCTTCTGTTATTCTGCATACTTTCCCCTCTTGATGACCTCTGCTAATTTTGTTTTTCTAGTGTACTGTAACTGACAATGCATTCTTCAGGCTCACTTTTCTTCCTCTCTTGGATTATCTTATTCCTTTCTGTGCGTTTCATGAAGCATGGAGAGTAGCCCAATTCATCTTATCTTCTTCACTTGCCAGGACCATGGAATACAGTAGCACAACTACAGGAGTAAGATTTAATTGAGATACCCTGTAGAGCCACAAGTCACATAGAAATAAGTTATATTGTCTCTGGAAAATATATTTGCAGCACACTTTTAAAAAGTAATGACTTGTAATGCTTTTCCTTCCTAGTCGTGCTGAAGAACAAACAAGAATAGCCTTGTCATATGAAACCAAGGCTTCTATAACTTGCAATTCCTCAGTTAACCTTCAAACAAGTTTTTATAAGTCATCTGCCAAACCACTGAAATAATTTTTTTTTTGGGGGGGGGGGAATACAGCATCACACCATTCCGTCTGTACAGTGGTACCTCAGTTTTCAAACGTAATCCGTTCAAGTTCCGAAACATTTGAAAACCGAAAACTGAAAGTAGAAGCCTCAAAACGGAAGCCTCAATACAGAAAACTCAAAACAGAAGCTGGATTTCCTGTTTGACTTCTGTGGCGCGTTAGAAAACTGAGGCATTTACTTCCAGATTTTCGGCATTTGAGTTCCGAAACATTCAACTACGGAGATGTTAAAAAACTGAGGTACCACTGTAAAGTAAAGGACCCCTGACCATTAGGTCCAGTCGTGACCGACTCTGGGGTTGCGGCGCTCATCTCGCTTTATTGGCCGAGGGAGCCAGCGTACAGCTTCCGGGTGATGTGACCAGCATGACTAAGCCGCTTCTGGTGAACCAGAGCAGCGCATGGAAACACCGTTTACCTTCCACCGGAGTGGTACCTATTTATCTACTTGCACTTTGATGTTCTTTCGAACTGCTAGGTTGGCAGGAGCTGGGACCAAGCAACAGGAGCTCACCCCATTGTGGGGATTCGAACCACCGACCTTCTGATCGGCAAGTCCTAGGTTCTGTGGTTTAACCCACAGCGCCACCCGTGTCCCACGAGGTACCACTGTATTCCTATACAAATAGAAAAAGTTCAAATATCAGCCTATATTTACAGATTACCTGGGTGGTTATTTCATATGTTGCCATTTCCCCTTATTCTTATAGCTCACACTATGGGCTGTTCTTTTAAAGATGGTGCCTGTGGGGCCTGTGTGGTTTTTCAGAAACGAATAGCAGCTGATGAAAGTGACTCCAATTCAGCTAAGGATAGTCACAACTAAGGTCCACTGGAAACCTAAGCTGTGGTCCTATAACCATTTACCAGACTATAAGCCTCAAAGGAACTTGCTTTTTAGTTAACATTCATACAATGTACCATATTTTTCGCCCTATAGGACGCACCGGCCCATAGGACGCATCTAGATTTTGGGGGGGGGAAATAAAGCAAAAAAAATTTTCCCCCCAGGCGCAGGGCTGGGGCGGGGGAAGCCCGAGCTTCCCCCGACCCCAGCCCCCAGAACGGGAGCCAGAGTGGCTCCCGGAGCTTGTGGGGCTGGGGGTGGGGGAAGCCCGAGCTTCCCCCGCCCCCAGCCCCCAGAGCGGGTCGGAGAGCACTGGCGAAGGTGAGCGCACGTTCGCCATCGCTCTCGGAGCTTGCGAGGCTGCGGGCGGGGGAAGCCGGAGCTTCCCCCGATCCCAGCCCCCAGAACGGGTCCCAGAGCGATGGCGAAGCTGCGCGTAGTTTTGGCATCGCTCTGGGAGCTTGCCGGGCTGGGGGGATAGCTTCCTGAAGCCTGGAGAGCAAGAGGGGTCGGTGTGCACCGACCCCTCTCGCTCTCCAGGCTTCAGTGAAAGCCTACATTTGCCCCATAGGACGCACACACATTTCCCCTTCATTTTTGGAGGGGGAAAAGTGCGTCCTATAGGGCGCAAAATACGGTACATTAAGTTCCATTCCCCTGTGTGTTTATTCCCAAGCAGGTTCTCTCTGGGCTCACCCACACTCCTGCTTGTCCTACGCTTGGAAAGCGTGGGCCCAGGTGGTTTTTGACTTGTCCTGCGCTTTCTAGGCACAGGTCTGAGCATTATTGCCTTTGCCCCACTGCTTTCCCCTGGGAAACCCTCTCTTTAGTGCTAAATCAGAGCAAATGGCGTCATGGAAAACCTGATTGCCCTTTGTTCTGCTCCAGTGCTAAGCTGTGGGTTTTCCCAGGGGAAAGCGGCAGGGCAAGCAGAAGTGTGGATGAGGCCTCTGTTTACTATGGCTTACTCAGAGGAAATTAGTCATGACTAATTTTACCTAGATTAAGAGTATTTCTTAGCAAGGCAATGCTGTTTAAATCGATCACACTTTTGTGGCACAGTGAACAGTTCTTTGTGTAAATACGTTTTTAGGAAAAGATAAACTTCCGAGTTTGGAGTTGCAATAATTAGAGCTCATCCAATTAAAATATAATCTTCTACCCTACATCAAGCCTTTTCACAATGGTCTGTACTTTCTTCAGTGGAAACGTAGGAATCCATTCCTGGTTGCTCCCAGTAAAGCAGGGTCAAATATAATGGGACTCTTGGGTGCAGCTTTACCTTCTGATTTCCTTGCTCTCTTTTCTGATTCCTTTATGCTTCATGCAACAAACTGTGTATTTGTTCAATTAGCTTTATTAAGTGGTCACTGTTTCCTGCATTATTAAAATCAAGATAAAATACTCCTGTTCATTACTTAATAACGTAATACACTTCCATTCTATTGCCCCACTAGCTTTTTTGTTTTTCCTTTTTTTTTAAAAAAAAGGGTTAATTGGTTTATAGTATCCATGATCAATTGTATTTTAAAATTCCTTATTATGATTTTGTAAAAACAAATTTGCATTTTAGGGATAGCACCGCCCACCTGTAAAAAATAAATGAAACGGCCTCTGAGCTTTAAGAGCATTAATATTCCAGCACTTTTGAACTGCAGTCTGGACAAAGGGTGCCCTGGAATTCCCTTTGGTGTTGCTAACAGCAAGAGCCGTTCTCCCGCTGCTTAGGGAGGCAAACGTACAACTGGGAGTTGCACCTGCATCTGAACTTCTGGAGGAATGCTAAACGTGGAACAGGAACAGCTGTAGCTATCTTTGGAAAAGCTGCATCATAATGTCTTGCTTCATAATGTCTCATCTCTTCCTATTCCTTCTATACCCAGTTCCTGCTAAGTAACTCAAAATTCTGCAAAATATCAACCATGTACAGTGGTACCTCGGGTTACATACGCTTCAGGTTACAGACGCTTCAGGTTACAGACTCCGCTAACCCAGAAATAGTACCTTGGGTTAAGAACTTTGCTTCAGGATGAGAACAGAAATCATGCAGCGTCAAGTGGCAGCAGGAGGCCCCATTAGCTAAAGTGGTGCTTCAGGTTAAGAAGAGTTTCAGGTTAAGAACAGACCTCCAGAACGAATTAAGTTCTTAACCCGAGGTACCACTATAGTCATAAAACCAAACACATCTATGTTGATTTGTTTCTTTTTATTTAGAGCACAAAATGGGTGTTTACTTGGGACAGAGTTCTTATTTTCCCCCTGCCAGAGTAACTTTGTTATTTGAACTGATGGATAAGAAGATAAACAACTGTACGTGGTAGGTGCAAATGTCACTTGGTAGAAAACAGTAAGTTTTACATGCATTACAAACAAGGATTTTTTCTAAAGTCTGTATCATGGGAAAATATTGGCCCTTATAAGAGATGAAAGTTGATGAGCTCAGTAATAGGATTCTCAAAGAATAGATGGGAAAAAGTTAAACTCCAAGCCCACAATGCAGATACAACATGGTACAGTACTTCAATGTCATCTAATCAATGAGATTAAATTTGTGTCACTAGTGGGTGAATCAATGAAATGATGTTGGTTTAAGAAGTGCTTCGTGCATACCCAAGTTATGGTTCAGACTATTAACGTAGTTGTCCTTTTCATTAAATATTCTCAAAGGACCTCACAAACACAACTAGCTATTTTACAAGCTTCTAAATGGAAACAGATGTTAAAGAACTGTCACTATTTAGATGTAGCCAGTAGCAATGAAAGAACAAAACCACCTCTCAGCCATTGGGCTCCAACTCAGCAAGAGATCCATGTCAACTCACTTCATTGCTCTACTTGACTTCTTACATTCTCACAATCCTCACCTCCTCATAGCTCAAAATTTCACAGAATTTCAAATGGAACCACGCACAGTATTTATTATAATGCTGAATATGCTTTATTTCATTTACAAATACAGTTTAAATCCATGGTTTCCCCCCCAATGCACAGTACAGTGTAATATGACCAAATAGATGCCGTAAGAATCTGCTCCTGCAAATGATTGACTTTGCTTAACCAACTTTAATACAATAACAAAATCAGCTAAGTTTACATTAGCTAAATTAGCCATCCAGCTAACATTTAAAGTACAGCAGTGATGCTGTACTACAATGGCAAATTAAAAAATACAATTTAAATTTACCCTTTCTGTGGATAAGTGTTATCAGTAGCATTTTTTTCAGCTATTTTTATTCTGCGAGATCAAGGATTTTGCGACCAAAGATTCCACTGTGCTACATAATCAGTCCTGTGTGAACCAAGATGGGCGCTTCCTTGTTCGTTCTATGATCCGCTTGCCTTCATCTTCATCTCTAGCTTTCTCTCCCTCATACAGTACAACAGTCTCTACAGGTGGAGCCTTATGTGGTCCTCCCTCCTGTGCCCATATTTCTTTCCTTATGGCAACTGTCTCCCGTTTAACCTTTGCATAACAATAGCCACAAAGAATATGCTTCAGTTTCAGGTTGCCACACTGAGGACAGACGTCAATGTTTCGCTAAAGACAAGAAAGAAAACAAAACGTTGGGCAATGAACAATTTAAAAAGAGAGATTTCACAAATGCTAAGAGCCATGTAGGGCAATGGCTATCTCATTACCATTGTGATATAATACATTGTTTTCCAGCAACCTGAGAAATTGCTCATGTCAAGTAGTATACATAAAGGTTTAAGTTTTCAAAATGCAATACCATCCCATTTTAAAGATTCAGCACAGGAGCTGCAGACATATTTTAAATGAAAAATTTCCTGTGGTAAATTTACAATACCAATGTGAATAAATAAGAAATTACAAGCATCTTGAGAGCATTGAAGAATAGAAAATCTACAAAAATAAAGACAGACAACAGAAATGTGATGAGTTACCTTTATTTTTATAAGGTTCCTAGGATTCCTTCGCCTGCAGCGATTTACTTCAATGGTCCGCCTTGATTTTGGGGCTGCCATCCAAAATATGCTGTCTAGAAAGCTTGGAGTCTCCTTACTTTCAGCATTCTCTTCTGTAGGTTCAGGCAAAAAAGCTGGACCCTGAATTGCTAAAGCAGGAGCTTAAAGACAAATACAAATAACTTAGTTACAAATAATTTAGATGTGGTAATTTGCTTACCTTTATTAATTAGATACAATATTTCATGAAGTGGTTTTGCTCAATGAGACTCTTACTTCCAGGTTTGTCGCTCGAGCATGCGCATAAGTGCTAAATCGCACTTCACACATGCACAGAAGCACAAATTGTTCCGCACACGCAGATGCGGCGCTTTGCCCTTTGGCTAGCGGCCGGGGCTCCGGAACAGATCCCAGCCGCAAAAGAAGGTACAACTGTACTGCAATAATTCCAGGACCGCCTCTCTCCAGTTGCTCTGGTCTGCCATGAGCAAGATAAAGCGAATAACAAATTTAACCAGTAACAATAGATAACTGACAGTAACAACTGTAGTCGTTCAAGTTATGTTAGTAATTGCATATTCTGTTTCCATAACCATCATGCTTCAAAGTAGGTTTGTGAATTTTTCCTCAATTTTGCTGTTTTATCTTTTTGTAAACCACTTTGTGGTGTGTGTGTGTGTGTGTGTATATATATATATATATATATATACACACACACACACACACACTTACTTTGTGGTGTGTATATATATATATATATATATATATATATTCTTACTTTGTGGTATATGTGTGTGTGTGTGTGTGTGTGTGTGTGTATATATATATATATATATATATATATGTATATATATTCAAACGGCACATAATTTTTACAAAATATGTAAGTAGAATACCATATTGGCCTGAATATAAGCCTCTTTACCCCCCAAATTCCGACTATGAAAAGTTAACGTGTGGCTTATCTTCGCGACCTCCGGTATGCAGCCAGGAGCGGGCAAAGCGGTGCCCACCTCGCACGTGGAGAGAGCGAGGAAGGGGAAAGGCCGCCAGCAACGCAGCACAGCTCCCCGCTCCCCGGCCAGTATGCAGCCAACAGCAGCAAGGAATGGAGCAGCTTATATGCCAGTATTTTTTCTTTCCCCCCTCCAATTTTAAAGGGGCGGCTTATATTCTGGCCAGTACAGTAAATAACGCGGGTGATGGGTGGGTAACAAATCTTATAAATAAATAGTTTTCAGGATCCAGCCCCCTCTGCAAAAAACAAACAACATTCGGGGCAGTTCCCACCAGCATAAAAAGGAAAGCAAGAACAAAAGAGTGCAAATCCTTCCCGCCCCAAGTAAAGCGGCGTCTCCAGCGGCGCTTGTCCTCAAAGGGCACCTGGGTTTCCAGCTGACGGGAGCTGTACAGAAACAGCTGGAAAGGCACGTTTGGGGGGCGAAGCCCCTGGAGAGCCGCCCCGGAGGAGGAGACGGAGCCAGGACCTACCCCCGGGCGGGCTGCGGCAGCCCAGCTGGGACCAGCAGCTTCGGAGGAAGCCTTGGATCCGAGGCAAAGGAGACGGGAAGACCAGCAGCAGCGCGGCCGCCGCCATCTTGACCAGCCCTCCGCCTTCGCGGCGCGAAAACGCGCCTGTCAGGATCAGCCGCGCTGAGGGCGCTGGGAAACCGAGTCGTCCTTCTCTTTGGCGGCGTTTCCGCCAAGCCACTTGGCGAGAGAGCTGGACTACATGTCCCAGCACGCCCTCCTCTAGCGCCTGAGGGCGAGGCACCGGTTCCCGGCATGCATAGCAGAGGGAACCAATTCTGTTAGCAAGGGATGACGGGAGTTGTAGTCCAACAACGTTTGATGGCGGGTACGAACGGCCCAAGGTTGAGAAAGGCTGCCATAGAGTTTCGCGGCTTTCGAGAGTTCCCGGAAGTTCAATCTGTTCATGGTTCTGCGGTCGGCGCTCTACATGTTTTCTCTTTTTGCGCATGCGCTGTAAAACAATACGCAGCGCGCGTGCGCAGCCTCCGAAAGTGGGCGGAGACGGTTATGCAGGGAGGGCGGGGCGAGGGGGTTCAATCGCGCTGGTCAAAATGGCGGAACGCGGGTACAGCTTCTCCCTCACCACTTTCAGGTAAGGCGCGGGGTCCCCTCAGGGGCGGCAGGGCGGGCGCAGGAGGCCCGGGGCGCTGTCCTTTAATGAGGGGGGGGGGTTCTGGGGCCTCTGGAGGGGCTCCGTCTCGTTGCCGTTGAGGCGGAGGGAGAGGCGAGGTTTTTGCGGAGTCACCGCTGGCGCTTCTCGCCTCTCGCTCGGAGGAGAAAGCGGCGCGTGTGGAAACTGCCGCAGGTTTCTCGCGCGGATCCCGCATCCCCATCAGACTTGCTTGAGGGAATGCGGGTTTCCCAGCAGCCTGGTCCTGAGCACTTTGCACCTTCCTGTTGGCCGCTTGCGACCGAGTGAAGATGCCGGGTGTCAGGATGGCCCCCGAGGTCTCCGGAGGCGCATACCTGGGGATCACACATTAATGCCACACCTTGTAGAATTCTGTCAGTTGCATTTTATCTGCACAGTCAGAATGAATTTCAGGAAACAAAAGCCTTTATTGATAAATAAAACTTTCGAGCCGTCTGCCCCCCGAATGCCAACTAGACCTTCCATTTTGGTGACTGTAACCCTGGTTTAAGGAGGCATTTGGCGCCTAGTTTATATATCGGGATTTCTAACACTGCTAAACCATGTAGAGATGAGCCTTTGGATCCAGTATGCAGGGTTTTAAGCCACGGATTGACTCTCCCTCCGCGTGGCTTGGTTAAGGCAAGAGCCCAAAGCAGGCCTCATTTCCCTTATAACCCTATAGAAAGTGAAACACACGACTAACGTATGTGCGTTGAGATTTTATGAAAATAATAAATCATATCATAGTGTCACCTTGGAAGTAAGGCCTATTCAATTGAATGGGATTTGGACTTAATCCCAAATTAGTTTCCATAGGATTGCAGCCTTACAGATGCATGTTTACTTGGAAATAAATGACATTGCATTCAGTGTGTTGAGGATTATGAACATGAAACAAATGTTACACCAAAAACGAAAGTAAAACTATTTTGGTGGGCTCTCTTTTCCCCTTTTCAGTTTTTATTATGAGATTACTTTGAGCTTGTTGCCAGACCTTGACATGAGTGCATGATTACATGAAAAGTGTAGTACAATTCTAAACACTCTTATACTAAAGTAAGTCCCACTAAATTGACTGGGGCTGACTCCTATCTGTTTGTTTTTATTATTACTATATTAAAATGTGCCCAATATCATATTGGTGAAAAAAGGCCCAATGAAAGGCCATAAGTTGCTTGGCATTTTCAGATTTGAAAATGTTTTCTTACCAAGGTGTCTCATGAATTGTTTGCTTTCTTTTAGCCCTTCTGGAAAGCTTGTTCAGATTGAATATGCTTTGGCAGCTGTTGCCGCAGGAGCCCCATCAGTTGGAATTAAAGGTATTCAAATGCTTGCACGATTAATAAGCCCACAAAAATGTTGCTAGTTTGTATGTCTGTGTGTACCTACTTTGGCATTTTGTGACCTAAAAGCAAAGAAAAAACGAGAAAGCAGACATAGATTATGGGTATTGAGGCTGAAGTCCTAGCCCCATTTGCTTGAGAGTAAGCCTCATAGAGTTCAACACCACCTAATTCTGAGTAGACTTTATTAGGATTGTGGTGTAGTATGATTGCCAGAAATTGATCTGAAAAGAATCAGCGTGAAAGCAGTAACCTGGCTTGACCCTATTTTGGTCATACCAACAGTGCAAACCTATACATGTCTACTCAGAAATAAGCTCCATTGAGCTCAGAGGTTAGGGAACCTGTGACCCTCCAGATGCTGTTGGATTGCAACTTCCATAATCATTCACCATGCTGGCTAGGACTGGTGGGAGTTATAGTCTAGCAGCATGTATTCTATTATTGCTAGCTGCCTTGAGCACCATTTAGTGGAGAGTTATGATACAAATTTAACAAACGACAGTCATACCTTGGGTTGCGAATGTGATCTGTGCGGGAGGCACGTTCGCAACCCGCAGCATTCGCAGCCTGAAGTGCAGCTTTTGCGCATGCACGTGACATCATTTTGCGCATGCGCAAGCACCAAAACCTGGAAGTAACCCGTTCCTGTACTTCCGGGTTTGGCGCGGTCCGCAACCTGAAAATGCACAACCCGCAGCGTTTGTAACCTGAGGTATGACTGTATATAAAATATTAAATAAAGGGATGGGGATGGTAGCGACATGAACCCATCCTAGTACCCCCAGAGCTTTTAAATTACGTTTTTGTCCCAGTGGGGTTCCAACCATAACCCTTCCAGAGTAAGAACTACAGAGTATGTTGTTGTGGGCCAGGGAGGAGGGGATGATTGTGGAAATATTCATTTTCCCCTTTTGGCCATCTAATAATGCACATGTAAGTCTTGATTCCCATTACCACCCTAGCTTTGTAGCAATTCAGCATCCTGATGTTAAAATACAGATAATGCGTGGTTTGGTTTTGAAACAAAACAAATCTCTTCCTGGCCAGTTTTTGAGTTTAAGAATTGAATTCAAACCCAGTGCATGCCACTTGGGGCCCTTGGGAGGAAAAGCACTCTTGTCAATGTTTAACCAAGCTAGATATAGGGATTCTTAGTGGGGCTATGAAACATCTTCAAAAAGTAGAATCTAAATATATTTTCAAAACAGAAAGTATAACTATAATTTTCAGATTGCATTTTGGGAAACCTTGGGTTCCTTACATATTTTCATTGCAGGTTTCCTAATGAAAAAATCAGTAACAATAGGCAAGCTTCCTTATGATATAGCTTCTCTGCCACTACTAATTTTCCTCTGCAGCGCACCCCATAGGAGAGTTCTGGGTATATTCTATGGTGTGTTGTAAGGTGCAGTCAGTTTGCATTGGGCCACTATGAGGCCAGACAGGCCTAGCCAGGGTGCACTTCACACAATCCTCCACATCTGTTGTGAGGCAGAGCTGCTAAGATTCCTCAGCAGATAATGTGGAATGAGGTCTTTGAAGGTAGAAAGTTTGAAAAGCTTCTTTTCCGTTTTTTTACTGAACTTTTTCTTTTTTTTCTAAGTAGGCATGTCTAGTGATATTGAGGTAACACATAACCATTAGGGGTGTTTATTGGATTTGGCTGTCTTGGAAGGATTTTGAGTTTCTCCCAAAGCCAAGTGAGATCTGCTTCAACCCATGCAGCCTTGTAGTGTACAATGAACCCTGAAGTGATTTATGATACCTCGGAATGGGTGGAAGGGAGGGAATGAGAGCAGCTTTGCAGACCAGAAACTTGTATCACTAACTTGAGGAAATGGTCAGAGGGGTTTTTTTTGAGGAGGGGGGGGGCTCTTTCACATCCCACAACTTTAGTTTGTAATTGGAGGGAATTATTTTATTCATAAAGAAAATATCATCTGATTATTTCTACCCAAAAATTAACTTTAAAGGAACTTTGGCTGGGGGAGATATAGTGGGAATCACTTAACAGCTGCAGGAACAAAACTGCATATAACCTTCTGAAATTTGGCAGGATTCATTCCTTTAGAAGGGGCAATGTTTCTTAAGATTTCATCCAGTTCTACCCAAATATTAGTATGTTTTGATGTTTGATGTTATTGGTTAGGTGTCCATCACAGAGACCCCTGAGTTGAATCTTGCTGCCTCCAAATTCATCTGAGTCGAATTGGCCTGTTTTATTATGCAGTGCCAATTTGGTGTTTGAACCAAATCATCTGGTGGGTAGGCACCCTTAGTAATAGTGCCAAATAATGCATTGGATTTATGTGATACGATTAGTAAAGGATATACAAGTAGATGAATTATTCTAGTTGCCTGCTTTAAGCATTGTGGGTTTGAAAGATTACGAGGAAAATAGAAGGAAGATATTTTAACTACATTGACTAAAATATTTGTTTTCTTTGTGCAGCTTCAAATGGCGTGGTACTGGCAACAGAAAAAAAGCAGAAATCCATTCTGTATGATGAACGAAGTGTACACAAAGTGAATAAATCAGGGCCTACTTGTTTCATTGTCTATCTTACCCATCCCTAAGGTCTGAGTCAGGTAAAAATAAGTTTTACTAATCCAATTAAAATGTCCATTGAAACAGGACAAAAATGAATCCGCTCTTTAAAAATGCACAACTCTATGCTGGCTGAAATGTGATTCCCTAAAGGTGCATTATTGCTTAAAAACACCTCACCTGATATTTCTCTCTCTACATAATATTTTCTTTCTCTACAGAACATGTTTTCCCCTTATACTTTCATAGGGGTAGCCCACCACAGAATTTTGCTTTTTCTAGTAGTTTATCCCTTATAAAACAGCAGTCATGTCTTATCTGCTTAGTTTCAGAACATTTGGGCACCTGAGGTGAACGACAAAATGGTACCTCCCTCCATCCCAGGGAGAAAGGGGCGAGTAGAGATATATACCAGGAACAGAGAGGGGAATATACCTTGGTCAATGCAGGTGACAAATGTTATCTGCTACAATATTGTGAAATGTACAGAATGCTTTGAAACAGGACATGCTAGAAGCAGATTATTTGGTCAATAGCTATTGGCTGAAATAGGTAGCACATTTTCACAACTTCCCAGGCTATAGTTCAAACAAAAATTAAAAGCCGAGGCCTAGTTCAAACATAACACTAAAGCAGTGGTTCTCAAGCCTTTATTTCTGGGCCACAGTTTCAGAATAAAATTGTCTTGAGCCACACTGAATTTTTGAATTGATAAGAAAAACATTAGAAAACACAATTCGGACTGTCCTCAGTATCACTTGATGCTCTTGCTCTCATTTTGAAAAAGATTTCTATACATATTAGGCAAAATTTTAAAAAAAAATACTTGGATACTATACTATACTACAATGAAATGTTTGGTGCTTCTTTGCTTGTCCTTGAATCTTCCCATCACTCTCCCATCACTTGTCTTCCTCTCCAGCCACACCAGGCTGGTGCACTACACCCTTTGAGAACCACTGCATTAAAGCATAATTTAGTGCTACGTGGATGAGCTTGCTTGAACCTTTGATACGTGATTCAAGGGTAGAGATTGTGAGAAGGCATCTTCCAAAGCAATCCTACCCCACAAATTTGGAGCCTTCTTGCCTCTAGCCTAGCCATCACCCCTTTTCCTGTTCCCGCTGGGGTCTTCTTTTGCTTGCGCCTGCGGGCTCTCTTCCGGCCAACGCTGCCGATGACAGATCTTAAAACCTTGGGGTCGGTGAGATTCGGCAATCGCAGCACCTTGCGCCTGCTGGACTTTCTGAGCGGAGCGGGTTGTGTCTTGCTCCTCGTGAAGTAGGGTGAAATGTGAGGAGTGTTGCAAGCCGGTGCAGAGGCAGAAGGTCTGGCCGAGTTGGTAGAGCACGGCTTCTCTGTCAGAGGCTTCTTCCTAACCCAGTGGAACACCAGTATCATACGCCTCTTAGATGGGTTGGACATGCTGAAGAAGGTGCTGGAGGCCCAAAGACCAGGGTGACTTCAGAGCAGAGGACGCAGCAGACAGTTCCCTATCAATGGTGCCAAATCCAAACAAATGTTAGCTCCAGTCTTCTTAAATCGATCCAGCAATTATGAACGTTAAATAAGGGATTAATTCCTCAGGCAGTATGAAAAGACTTTCTGTGGCTTTTCAATAGATGGGAGCCCCCAACTACTGCCACTGTTGACAGCCTGTTGCCCCTTTTAACTCTGCTTGAATGGGTTATGTCACAATGGTTCCTTCATCAGGTGCTTGTGAGCATGAAAATGTTGTTGGGAGTTTCAGCAATGAAGGCTCAGGCATAACATACTGTTTGAAAGTCTGAACATTTCCTCTTTTTTTATTTAACAAAATTTATATACCACTTTTATAATTTATATACAAATTATTAGGAGAGTAAGTTAAAAATATACTGTAGTTTATGAACTTATAGGCTAGTTTACATACTTTATTCCTTCTTATACTTCTATCCCACCTTTCCTCCACAGAGCATACACACTTCAGCCTCCACCTTCTCCATTTTATCCTGACAGCAATATTGTGAGCTAGGGCCATAGCTCAGTGGTAGAACAACTGCTTAGCAGGCAGAAGGCATCAGGTTCAGTCCCCAGCATCTCCTGGTGGGACTGGGAGCGCTCCCTCTGCACCTTGGAGGCTTTGTGTTGCTGTCGCTGAAGCCAAGGAGCCTGCATTCGCTCCATAGGACCCACACACATTCCCCCTTAATTTTGGAGGGGGATAAGTGCGTCCTATAGAGTGAAAAATACGGTAATTTAAACTATTCACTGTTCACAGTTCAGACCAGGTGTGCCAAATTGAATAAAATATTTTTATGGGAGGGGCAGGAAAGCCCTACCTTGCATAATCAATCACAAGATGTGGCACACGCAAACCATTTGAATGGCAATGCCCATCAACCTTAGGGGAGCCAAAGGGACTTCGGCAGCTCCTAAAAGTTGGCTCCTATGGTTCAGACATAATGATAAGCTGGTAAATTTAAACTGAAAGCAGATACATACCATCTCCTCTAAATTGTGTCCAGTCGCATGGTTAATGTGGCAAGCTGTATAGGCTAATTCATAATTTGTATTTCCGTTTACAAAAGCTGCACAGCACCACACATCTAAAATGGATCAATACTGCGCTTATAGAAATCCAGTGTGAAGCATTTTCTCGCTCCTTTTCTTTTCCATTTCCTATTCCCATACTACTATTTTTCTGGTAATTCCTCATTGCTCAAGGGCTTTCTCTGTAGCTAAAATAAGACATAAAGTCATATTAGTCACAGCACAATAAGTAATGCATTACATCTTCATTTCAGTACAAAGTCCCCATCTTTTGTAGCCGGTCAATAACAGGAAAAAATTAGTCCCAGCATTCTCTTATAGTTATGTGGGAAGCCACATTGAACACATCCTTAAAAAAAAAAGGGGGGGAGTATAAAACTGATCTACAAACCAAGAGAATACCTGGTTTTAATATGGTTTAATTCAACAGGAGCCAGTAAGCCTATGGCTGCAATTCCATGTGCACTTACTTTAGAGTAAGCCCCATTGAACTTTGCCCTCTGCAATCTTCTTGAATGCTTTTGTTCAGTACCCTCAGCTTTCTTAGGTAGACCTTTGACAAACTGTTTTGAAGGCCAGCTAACTGCCAAGGATTGCTACAATCATTAAATCACAAAGTGTCCCACTGGGGTGGTGCAGGACGCTGGAGCTGAGGACTGCGCAAGACAAGAACAACATGAACATCTCCATCTTGTGGTCAGAACCCTTAATTGCATATTCAAGAAGATTGATGTGCTATCCTCCCAGCTATGTAACCTTGAACAGAAAATTGATAACTTCGAGTCAAAGTTTAAACCAACTGTAGATACGGGGGAATTGAAGTGCCAGAGGTCCTTACCTTCAACCAAAAAAAGAAGTGTGATCCCTAAATATAAACCAAATCCTGCACTGAAACATCAAGCATTGTCCCTGCAACCTAAGAAAATCTGCCTAAGTCACCAAGGTGGCTTACTCTGGGTGGGGTTAAAAAGCATCTAAGCAATCTCCTAAACATAGAAATCACACAATGCGATCTCATTGCAGTATTACCTTTGAACCAGCACCTCAGGCAACAGAAAGTGATGCTTGCGTTTTACTCTCCAAGGATCCCTTCAGCTATCATCAGGCAGAAATCACTCTTGGCTAGGTATGATATCATCCCAACAAGAGTTTTTATGGATAGCATGATCCACCCCCTTCTACTTGCCGGTCACGGCACGGAGCGGACTCTGTCGGAGAGGTCAGGAGTACCTCGGGACATCGAGCCTCCTCTCCTGGAGGATATCCATCCGTACCGAAACTGGACTTACTTTACGTCCCCACGAGCTCTAAAGAAACCCACTGGCGCAAGTAACTCTCTGACCCCGCCGGAGGAAAGAGAGCTTTTAGCCACCTTTGGCGACCTTCCACCGAGAGAACAACAAGAAATAATTGATAGACTAGAAGTACTTAATCATCAGCTCATACATGTCCAGAAGAACGGAAAAGTCCTGCCCACTTTTCAGGATAACCCTGCCAGCTTTTCGGAGTCGTGTTTTAAGGAAGCAGGAAGTCTTCCATACCATAGTCCAGCTCCTAAACCCATGCCTCCCCCACTTGTGGGCAAAACCCATCGACGCTTGGCAGACCCAGGTTTTGCCTCACAAGTTGGCCTCTCATCCCAACTCTTGATAAATTTTGACTCGCCCTCCAAGAGTCCCCCGCTGAGGAGTGTAACTCAGAGCTCCTTCCACCAAAACAATTCCTTACCATCTAATCCATCAATGCCGGAACTGGAGTCCTCATATTCCCCTGAGCGGCATAGACCCGACATACAAACGGTACCAGTACGCCGAGCATCCCCTGTACCTTCGCCAGCACCAGGTCAGGGGAGTGTTCCACCTACATCAAAAAATGGCCCAGATTTGACTGAAGACCCGGCCGGACATATAAATCAAATGGTTTCATCGGCGACCTTTAGACCTCGCGGTGGGGCAGTCTCAGCAAATCCTGTGGAGTTTCCCACTGAAGTGTCCGCCCTTGGGTTAGCCAGCGGGAGACCCGTTTTGTCGCCCCAGTCAGAATACCTCACTACCAACTTCAAGACTAGGTACCTTCAGCAGGTGCCTGCCACGCAAAGTAAAATAACTGACTTTTTTGTGGGGTCTGCCCTGCCTCCAAAGGACTCACATCTCTCCCTGAAATGACAGCGAATTGGTCACAACAGGAACTCCCCCCTATCAGTCCTCAGCTGGAACATTGCGGGCTGGAGGAGGAAAAAAACTTGATCCAGAATTCTTGGAGTATATTAACCTGTTTCATATCATCTTGTTCCAAGAATCGTGGGAAGTAGAGAAAATTGTCCTAAATGGCTTTGAGCTTTTAGAACTCCCTGCCTGCCCCTCCCTGAAAGGAGGCCGCCCTGAAGGGGGCCTAATAATAGGCATCTCCCTCAACCTACATTCTAAATTTACTCTAGTACAGGCCTTGCCTCCT